GAGTGGGTTTATCAAAAAAATGTCAAGAATAAAAAAGTTTTTAAATTGCCTGTTCTATCCGAAAACATGATAAAATATAGGGTGTTCTGTAAGAAATTTCAAAGTTGGCCGCCATTTTGGAAAATGGCGGCTGAATTTTGAAAAAATAAAATCATATTTTTAACTGCCACAAAAAATAAAGGAATGTCCCCCATTTAAAGTTTTCTCTAATTCTTACAGTTTCCGACATCCCAATGGTGGCCTCCTTGAGTTGATCACCCTGTATAGACCAAGTCACAACAACATCTCATTTAATTTCAATAATATTGTTTGTATAGAACTAAATTCTACATTTTAGGTCTTATCTGCTCTAAACCGATTAAAAACTTGTTGACACACGTACCAAAATTACTATTTAACAAACCCCCTGGGCTTAAACTCAGTTTCAAATTTCATCAATGGTCATCTTGAACAACATAAAATGTGTTGGTGTTACATAAGTGTTCTGATAATTAAACCTGTATATCTAAAGACTAGTGTAAATTGAGCCCTTATTAGAGAAGTAAAAATGTAACCAAACAGATTAGGTTTTTTAGAAATAGCATAAGGCAAAACAAATATTGAAAAACTCATTTATCCTAAATTTACATACCACTTTTTAATTGCTTGTTTAACATACGTAGAGTGATTTTCCCGATTGTTTTATTTGTTTTAGTGTATCAAAACATAAAACAAACCTTAGTACTAGTACTAAGTTTCAAGTTCCTAGGTTTCATATGTTTTGTTAAGTAGTATTAAACTGTTAAAAATGACGAGCTGCTGTACCAGTGTACCATCAGTACACTGCATTTTTCAATGGAAAGTATCGGGGAATATCACTGCTCTAAGTAGTTTTATATAGTAAGTAGTTCAAATCATTCGGTATACCTGAAAAAAATACTTCATAAAAGTTTTAAAATAATTTGTCAGCCGTTCCTATGAATTCCTCTAACATTGAAATTAATTGAGATTTAATCGCAGCTGGTCCTTTTGTTTCGATTTTAATCCCATGTTATTTAAATGGGCCAAAATCGTACTTTGAGGGCTTGCCAAGGGTGTATGGGTCAACGCACCGACTTGAGACCCTCAAAAGGCACATCTACACGTTAAGGGCTTTCAAACAACATAAAAAACATTAAAATTGAGCCAGTGGTTTGGGCTGTAGGTCCGTCAACATTCAAGGGGGAGGAGAAGGAGAACACGGAAAATTTGTGAATTTTCAAACTAGTTTTTCTTGGGTCAAACACAACCGTTTTTTAAATTCTTTTTTTATTTTGTTGAGAATGAGTGCCCCTATCCAGTAGATGAATAATTATTTTAATAGCTTTTGTTTCTTCAGAGCTATAGACGAGTAAAAAAGCCACTTTGTCACGTCATGTATATATACACTGCAGCAGCTGTGTACCGCTGGGGGACTTGGCGGGGCGGAACGCTGCTGCGTTCCTTAATGGAGCACCGGGTTGGCAATGGTTTGTAATATTATAACAGCTGCCACTTGCTTGATTTAGGGAGTAAGCTATATCTTTCCCATGACTGTCACTTGCAATCATAATATTATGTTTGTTGAGTGGCTGCTTTCTTGGAGCATTTACTGAGCTGTTTCCATGGGAGTTCTTACTTAGAGGCTTAGTAAAGCTCTTGTAGGCTATGGAGGATGTGCTGGTAAAGTTTGAAGGTTCTTTGCTGTTCTCCTTTTGAGTTATTTGATCTAGGACTTCAAATCTATTTTTTGTTGTTATTGGCAAATTAGTGAGCTTATGGGGCTTTTTTCCTTTGACTTGTCTGACTTTCTTTTGATTAATTACACTTTTCCTACTGGAAGAGGTGGACTGTTTACCGTTGATACAAGGTCCCGTCTTAAGCTGTTTATTAGAAACTAATTCACTGTTTTTCTTGATAGCCGGTGTTCCTGCATACCAATCTTCAAAGGGAATGCTCAATCCAGTGCCTGCATAGTAGTGATATGCTACATATTTAGCATATGCTAATACATGTATTCCGCATTCAAATAATGTTTCTGTTGTAAACTAGGCATTTCCATGAAACTAGTTTTGTTAATACCTAGATTATTGGCCACATTTTGAGCTGGGTAATTATTTACTGGGCTCAAAGAGTCAAGATGATAAGCCTTACTATTAGTCTTGTCTAAGAATAACAAGCTCCAATGGGAGCCAGAGTCATCGTTTTCACAGTCAGTGCTATTACTGACGCATAGAAATACATATTTACATGTGTGGTAGGAGGTTAATTTAAGACTCTCCAATACTGTCTCTGGGGAACCAAATTTGATTAAAGAAGTAGCAGATGGGCCTAAAAATAAAATTTCCTTATTTACCATGTTACTTTCCATAGCAGAGAAATAGTCATTTAGGACAGAAGAGACCTTAATGTCCTTAATTTTCTTAAACCGTGTCTTGTCACATTGCAAACGCAAAGATCGAGTATAACTGCATTCAGGGCCGGTTCTAGGAATTTTTCAGAGTTAAGCGAACACCCGAATCAGCGCCACTTAGAATTCCCCCCCCCCCCAAACCCATGAACATATAACTTAACCGTATTTGTGAATTTTTTCCCAATGATTTTGGGAAGAATTTTTTTTATAAGTTTAGGTAGAAGAAGTAACTTGCAATAAAAGGCTGTTTATTATTCGCAGAAATGTGACATTTATACACTTTTACTCATCATATAAAAACTATAGCAAAACCAAGGACACACTAAAAAAAACAGGCCGTAATGTAATGCTCGTCAAGCATGACGTCACGATAGAAGACGGCAATGACGTAATGTTTGCCGTTTGTGATCAGCTGCTTGTTTTAATCTTTCCTTGGCAAATAAATAAATAAATACCTACGTCATTGCCGTCTTCTATCGTGACTTCTTTGGGCTGACTGGACTCGTCACCAGGGGCCCATTTCATAATAAACTACATGTTACAAGTTACAACTTGTAACTTGTAATTTCCATTAGATTTGCATTGGGCGATCAGCTGATTTACTAATAATATTAGTTTGTACTTTATTATGAAATGGGCCCCAGATGATTTCTACAAAAGTCTACTCATTGATTTGGCTTTTTTTCTTCCTCTTCCAAATTTGCCTTACGCTTTCTATGATAAGTGCCAGACGGTTTCTTTTTTTCTGCCATTGTTTTCATAGTTTCGGCTCGCAATATGTTTTACTCACTCATTCAGTTTATACTTTATTTTTATTTAATGCGCAAATTATAAATTAAACACTCGTAATAATTCGCTTATCAACAATCATGAATCAAAACAATGCCAATACGATACCGATACGGTGTAGGCCTACGCACGATTACTAGAAAAATACCGGTATGGATCATAAACAAATGACGTTTTTGGCCCGAAAATAAACATTATTTAACATTGCTTAAATGGAACTGCCAAAACATATGTTCAATGCTATTAGTATAGGATTCGGGCCAACAACGTCATTTGTTTATGTTTATGATCCATACCGGTATTTTTCTAGTAATCGTGGGCCTACGTATACAACTAAAAGAGTGCAATACAACGTAGTGCTCTGTTCTAGGATCAGAGGCAGAAAGGAGTGAAAGAAAGGGGAAGTTTCTTGTTGTGACAAGTGGCGCTGCGCGCTTGCTTATCTCGAGCATGAGTGAGGCTGGTACTATACGGACGCTAAATGCGTCGCGTTTAATGCGTCGCGTTAACGCCAAAGTTTGGCGCATAAGTAGTCCAGACTATACGGACGCAAAATGCGTCGCGCTGTTTTTGCTTGACATTTTCAGAAACATTCATATTTGGTAGATCCATTTGGAAATGGGGACCCTATTTGTTTTGCCCGCTAGCTGTTTTCGCCTTTGCAAGCATCCCCCCAAATATACATACATTTCAAACATACAAACATACAAACAACAAACATACATTTCAATATTTAAACCTTTTACGTCAAATAACCACACAATTAAACAAATAACCATTGACTTGAAATAACCATTCATCCTTCATTTGGGGAGTCATTTCCTCCCAGTTGTCGTGCACAGCTGCTCCTACCTCCATCCAGCACTGAGCTTTAACATTTCTGTTTGAATATTCTTTTGACTGAACGTCATAAAGTGGAGGCCGCTTCTCTACTTCTAAGATGAACTTCTCAGTATCAAACATGTTGATGACTCTCACACAGAAGCACAATAACTACTCACTCAAGACTGCGACTGCGGGCCACGCATCTAGCGTCCGTATAGTCCGGCCCTAGCGTTGCGCAGCGCTATCTACGTCGCGCTGCTAACGTTTTTCCAGGGCTGGTGGCGTAAAATGCGTCGACGCCGAGTTTGGAGGGCAGCGTGCCGCGTAGACTGCGCTCGTATAGTCGCTCAAATTGACTTGCATTGCCATCCAAAATTAAAAATAGCGCAGAGTATTTAACGCTAAGTGCTGTTGGTACAAACAGAATAAATGCCTTTATTGTGGTGCTTTGAATACTTGAACTCTGAGCAAAAATAAACAAAATTACGTTGTTCACGTAAAAAAATGTTTCGTTGGCGCCACGGCGCCACTTTTTCGTGGCGCCATATGCGGCCGCGTAGTTCGCGTATGGGTTAAACCGGCCCTGACTGCATTTATACTTATTTTCCAACCCCGTAGGAAGGACAGGTACTCTGCTAGTAAACAATAAAAGAAATGGAAATTAATATTTTTATCTTTTGTTCAATTCCCAAACAATCTAACATAAATTATTAAGTGAATAATAACCCACTGGCAATTAAGTAAAATATTCTATTTTTATTTTTGGTATACGGTAGGGCCTACACTTTTATTATTAATCGTAAAGAACAAAATACCATTTAAAATAGGTAATAGTTGTTAAGCGCAACAACGCGCGCCGGGTAACTGCTAGTAAATAAATAAATAAAATATAAAATTTAAACAGCTTTTTTTTACATTACCTTTGGTATTCTTTGATATTATTGGTCCAGTATAATGTTGTATATTATTTTTCCAGGTCCACTCTACAGTGAGCCATAACCCAAGCATGGGTGATATTGATGTAGATATTAACTTAAAAGCATCAAGTTACGAAGACACAATTAGACAACTAGACATTTACTATGGACTTGGTATGAGTTAATTAACTTTTTTAACAATAGCTTATAGTCCGTCTTTGCCTCTTAAATAAAGACATTTTCCATTTAATTTAATTTCATAGTTTAATTTAGGGAGAAGTACCAGAGAACTGATCATTGATGGTAGTGTCAAATTTATTTGAGAAGTTGACCAAGCCACCACCGTATAGTGTTAGGCCTACAGAAAATGTAATTTTTATTAAAAACCAATCAATTTCAATGATAATTCTATTCTTATAGTAACATAAGAGGGGACCAGTCTGCATATTGCACATTTTAAGTTAACAAGACTCCAAATTTGTCTTAGAGGCATAAAAAATAAAGCAATACCCGTTTACATTTCAAACTAACTAAAACTAAGACTAAAACTAATAACTGAAAAATTTTAATCCAAGAAACAAATAATACCAAGAAAATTATAATAATATATAAATGTTTGTTTGACATCGGTCCTATATGTGCAGGTTTTATTTGTATTTTGGAATATATTTATTTTATTGGGTCAAAAATGTAAATTAAACTTTTCTGTTGGAGATTTAACATGGGGCCAAATTTTAAAGGTTACGACAGCCACCCTGACCATACTAGACCGATTTACATGCAGGTTGTACCAAAAGAAAGTTTATCGGTCCTATATGTGCAGGTTTTATTTGTATTTTGAAAATATTTATGATAATTGGGTCAAAAATGGAAATTAAACTTTTCTTATGGAGATTTAACATGGGGCCAAATTTTTAAGTTTACGACAGCCACCCTGACCATACTACTGGACCGATTTACATGCGGGTTGTACCAGAAGAAAGGTTATCGGTCCTGTATTTGCAGGTTTTATTTGTGTTTTGAGAATAGTTATGTTAATTGTGTCAAAAATTGAAATTCAACTTTTCCTATGGAGATTTAACATGAGGCTAATTCTATATATATTAATAGACAAGTATGTTTATTGAAAACCTTAGAAAAACCTTAAAAACTTAAATTCACTTAAATTACAATACACAATAAATATTTCCTCCCGGAGGGAAAAAGGCATGTACTTTATTTAATTGTAACATTGCAGGAGCCGGAGTGAGAACACTCCAGTCATGTCATAAGTCATACAAAACAAATAAATAGGCTATCTAGAATTATTTTTAGTGAGGCAATGAAAGTAAACTTTGTAATGTTAATTCTAGATATTTTATCCTGTTCAAATGTGATTATTTAAGAAAATTTAAATTATTTTTATAAAGCTAAACACCAACCTGATAATCATGATTTCTTTTGAAGTAGAAATGAAATGCAAATAAATACCGTACCTATCCTGTTTTCAGTAAAGCGCCAGCTACTTCGTTATCAAAGTCCTATCACGGGACTTTTTCCCACACTGTCAAATGAAGAAAAAGTTGCTAGTGTTAGGGAGAGTATTTACTGCGCTGCTGCCATTTGGAGTCTATTTCAAGCCTATAGGTAAGTAGCCTATAAACAATTATTGGCTTTTCAATAATCCTCAGACAATAAATTTGATATTTATCATTCTCGATTAACTGTCAATTAGATATACTACACTGTATGTATACTACTGCAATGCAACCAATTTAGAGTAATCTGGCTCAGAAAATGTTATGTACAACAGTTATGTACAACAGGCAATAGTTTTATTGGCATATTCTTTTAGGGTAGTAGCCTAGCATGTGTTGTATTATAATGTGTTTATTTCTTACAAGTTCTTTCTTTGTTTAATCTATATATTAAATACGTAAGCCCATTCTTTGCATCAAAATTGTGGGCGACGGGGAAGTCGTAGGACGGAAAAGGGCTCGATACCATGACGGCAGGAAAATTAGTGAAATTCCCTAAATTTTAACACAAAATTAAATATAACGTAAAAAGTTCTCCATAAGAATAGCATTAGAAGCCATTTACTGCTGGTTTTTGTTTAATTCAATACAGCTGATCGTGATTTATCATCAAGCCAGTAAGCAATATTACATTGGGATTATTCATTTGCCAGTCAATTCTGCAATGTACTGTATACTATATAAAACCAGGGGAAGTTTTTTCTTTTAATTTGAAGGTTATTGTTGTGTTGAAGGAATGTTTAACATGAAATAACCACCTTGACTAAGTAATAAACTATTCAAGATTATTAAATGGAAACTTTCTGCTTTGTTTTGATAAAAAAACACACTTTATTAACCTCCCCGTAGCAGCAAACCTAGGTACTAATTTAACCTAATGTTATTGAAATAGATTTAATTGAAAATAAAATCAAGCAAACAAGTTACAAGTTTGCATTTTGGTGAGTTAAATGAAACTCACTTAATCTGCAGGTTTGCTGCGGTGCTGGTATTTTGCCTATTCCATGAAATACAGAGACGGCATCACAACCTGTGATTGCAAAGAAAATGAAAAGATTGCTGCAGATCTCTGGAGAGAGTTAAGAAAACAAAACAATGACAAATTTTAATTTTTTAGTTAATAACGGCCACCATTTTTAAATGACTTAATCAAACTCGACCATTGACAACCTGGGATAAGATATCGTATTCAAGCACTTGTATGCCAAATTTCATTAAAATCGGTTCAGACTTTTTGGTACTATAACCAATTAATGGCAACCCAACATCCTCTTACGGCCGCCATATTGATGACGTCATTACGGGCGACCGAGGTCCTTAAGAACCGGCTGGAGCCAGCGAAAATTTCGCCTTTTGGCAGCGCCTGCAATACGTGAGATGCGGTAGCGCCACTATCGGTGGCCACTAGGGGAGTTACGTGCTCTAGCTTTATTGACAGAACTAAACCTAGGCTTCGAGAACAACACACAGTGTAAACAAAACACTGAATAACCGCAAGATAGTAACGTAGCCCTTCCTCGACTCCATATCCATTATAAATCATAACAGCTGAATGTTTGTCGGGTTTGGTGGTTTGGTCGGGTCTGACCTGACCTTCACTACAGCTTGCTATGCCACTTTGAAACAATTGTAGTACAAGTCATTGATATAACTTTGATACAAGATTGAATTATTTTAAACCATTTTTAACAATGCTTCTTAGATATAAGTTTTATTACAGTTATCATTATTTAAAAATCAGTTTGAAGCTTTTTCCTAAGAATGTTTGAGCGATTAAAATTTTATAAAAGATCCTAATAATTATTTCAACCATTTTTAAAATCTAAGATTTGACTAACATACGTTTCAAAACAGTTTTAACAAAATAATCTTTCTAAACAACATATGGACAGTTTTAACATTTGGTTAGTAGCTAGACTTTCAATTGCTTTAAAGAATTTTAAAAATAATTTCCAAAAATGTAAATACGACTAAACCGATATTTACTAACGTAAGTTACAACAAGTTTGACTAATCTTTAAACTAATTTTTAAATATAATTGATATTAAACGACTTGTATGTCTAAGATTGTATAAAAGAACAGTTCATGTAATAAAAACTGTATGTACGTTGAACGATTTCAACACGTGTTGTTTAGTAAATTGTATTGTATTAAAGTGGGTAAGTATTTTTTTTATCCATGAGTTAAATGTTATTTTAATCAAATTCATTACAAATAGGCCCTAATGTGAGGCATACTTGTATAATTGTCTTAAATGCAATTAGGTGATCTTCCCTTTTTAATGTAAAAAGTACTGTTGATTTTTCTCAACTCCATAAATTTTTTTAGGGAGTATATTTTACGTTGTATATTTTTTGTTTTCTCTGTGAATGTTTATTAATACGCAAGCAGTTTTCTTTTCACAGTCATAACTCAATAACGGCTTGATGGATTTTAAAGTTTGAGGTGTCAAATTAAAGGTATTTTCACGTAGATGTGCAAATACGACTCAGAATATTTAGAAAGGGCACCATTTAAGTACACTTAAGGGCTAAAGTTTGGAAGGTGGCGCTATCTGTTGACATTTGATCAAACTCATTTCCCTTTGTTTACCAATAACATATGGGCGTAGTTTGAAATATTTTTTAAGGTTAATCACAGACTGCAGGACTTCAAACTTCCAGAGCAAAGCTGGAATTTATATTTTGTTTCAATCTGTTAACTAAGTCTGGTTCATAATGAAACAAAGTGTTTAAGAATAAATATTTAATTCTTTTTGTCTATGGTTAAATTGATTTACCTTACATCGTATTTTACTGATTATCATGTTACAGTTCGATGAGATGAAGTGAATGTTTAAAAGTGATTATTCACAGGGCAGTTATCCGTTACATTACCATATTATCATCTAATTTACAATGTGTATCAAAATTCCAATTCCTTTTTCATTTTGTTTTCTGTTGTTTGGTTAACTTTCCTCTTTCATTTCAATTTAAAATCAAATGCCGCCAGTACGACGAAGAACTGTCAGTGGCTGGAGGGAATGCGAACATGACCGCTTGCATCAACCTCTCAATTGAAAATTTGATGGGGACATAGTGGAAGTACCACCGTTGTGATAGTCCAATCTCGGACGAATGAACGTAAATGTTTACATTGTAGTGGCTTACATATTATTAAGCAAGAAAAGCCTGGCCGAGACAGTTAAGTTTGTAGGCTACTCTTTGTTGCCATAAATGGAAGGTTCGTTTACCTCATTTGTCCACCAATCATTTCGTTTACCAATCTGAAAATAGGACTGCGAGACTTATATCCAGAAATTATTTGGATAAAGTTTGTCAATTCAGTTCTGCCTTTACCATGGTCAGCTCCAAAGCTCATTAAGATGAGAAAGTTCCACAGGGGATCTACAATTTTAAGATCTGTGACACGTTTTACCACCGAGTGGGTCCTCTAATTCCTCAAGAAGGTGATGATCCTGAATACGCACAGACATTTAAGTAAGTACGACAATGTCACTAGAACCCAAAGGAGAAATAAGCACAATTAAAAAAAAAAATGCGATGAAAAAATATGCGGGAAATAGGGTCACAATGCCAACCCATTTGCAAATCTTTGAAGACCTTGGCAGACATTATGTAGGGACGAGAGCTCCGAGGAGTCAAGTGAGATTCTTAAAATGTACATAATAAGAGACAGAAGAAGTGTCTTCCCTCGCTACAATGGTGCTACCTGTGTAGATTTCGCAGCAATTTTCAAAGCTGAAAACAAAGCACCACCTGGCCAAATAAATCGTATAGTTTTTTCCAATACTAATAATATTAAACGCGTATCCATTATAGATCTGTCGTTGTATCCACTTGCTTACCCTCTTATGTTCCCAACCGGAGACTTGGGTTGGGGCCCCTAATTTAAATACGCCTAAAACAGAACACATCAAAGAAATAATTTAAAAATGCTAGAATAAGAGTAGCGATGGTTGGCGTCAAGAGAGGAATTGAGCTACATTAGGTCAAAAGCTCACTTTACAGTGTGTGGTTGACATCTACGTGCTTATAGAGTGCACCAGCCTACTATACATAAGAGATAACCAAAGCAGTATGATGAGAGTGGTGAATGTAAATTTAAATATTGTAGATTGCTTTTATATTTTTTTACATCATAATATTTTTATATTTCAATAATCAGTCATATAAATTATTTTAGAGTGACTCTTTGATTAAGGTCTTGCTGTTTATTTTTTTATTCAAGTTACAGTTTTGCTCGATTTCGAGCAACAGGTTATCTAGTGTTTATTCATTTTCATAACATTATCACGTATCAAACGTTATAAACAACAAGTATTCGTAGTTTTAATTTTAGTACACCACATTATCATTCGTCACTAACGGCAATTGATAGGGCAGGCCCAGCAGGTAGTCCCATTGTGTCCGTGCGAGTGAGTGGGTAAAGGGTCGCCTATTTTCTAACTTTCACATTTTTGTAGGGATGGACGAGATTGAATTTTTAGTTCGAGACGAGATGAGACGAGATTTTTTATTTCTCATAAAATTTCGAGACGAGATCGAGACGGGATTTCCCTTCTCATACACAACGGGAAATGCACGTTCAAAATTTTTACCTGATTTTGTAACATTGTTAGATGACTGTTTAAATACAACAATAATGATAATAGGCAAGAATATTTACAATCTTTTATTAAAAAACATCAGCATAACATTTTTTTATTAATCACGCCTAACTTATTAAAAATGTCTACGATTAAGAAACATAGTGATATCAGTTAGGATAGAGTTCAACTTATCCTAAAATAAAATAAATCATAAAATAAAAGCAATATTAATTTTTATAAAATAGTTACTTGTTTTGACTTTTTATAGTAATAAAACATTCCTCACACTGCTTACACTTAACAAAACTTCTCAAATGTTATTAAAGTAATATTATTAAAATAATTAAAGTAATATTTACATTTATAGAATTAATTAAATAAGAACGCCTTCGCAAAGGAAACACAACTACAACACGCTCCTGTATTGCGGGTATTGCATTGACTTTCTGCAGGCGTTTTTAATTTTTTTTTTTTTTTTTTTTTTTAATTCTCGTCTCGATAAAAATCTCGGTCAAA